ACAAAGTCCGGGACCGTGTAGCCATCTTTGGTATGACCAAGCCGATACCCATATTTTCCTCCTGGGCCATTCGGGTCAACAACCCCATTCACCGCACCATTGCCGTTGACCTCTGCCCCAGCTTTGTCCACATCAAAAACCATGGCTGTGGTAAGAAGTTAGAGTCGTGTCGATGGTATCGTGTCGTTGCACAAGCGAGGCTTGTCTTCCTTTAACTATAGATCTAATGTGGGATGTCTATCTGCATGCGGCAGTGCCAAAAAGGCATCTAAGTCAGGAAGAGCCGACCCATCGGAGTCAGAACGGGAAGGCCCTCGAATGAGTTGGACAAGGTTTTTGTCCAGTGAGGGAAATTATCCATTTTCTGACATGAACATATTGTGAAAGCCTTTGCAATAGGTTCAGAGAGATCAAGAAAGAAGAAGGAAAAAAAGAGTCAGGCACTCCTGACGCTATAGCTGGGGTCCATGTAAGTTCGATTTGTGGCACGTCTTGATACGCTATGAAACCACCTTGACGGGGGAAGAAGTCAATGTCCAAGCCTGGTCTATTCAAATGTCTTGCAAGAACGTCACACAGGCTCTCAAGCTGCAGCACCCCCGTCTACCGGCACGATTGCTCCCGTGATAAATGATGCTTCGTCGCTCAGCAGGAAGGCGATCAGGTTGGCGACTTCTTGGGCCTGCCCTTTCCTCTGCAGCGGTAGGCTGGAGTATGTGTTTGTCGTCTGGTTTGATGTTGAAGAAGGTGCTCCAGCGAGCAAGCTGTCAAGCATTGGCGTTTCAATGGGACCGCTAGAAAAGAAAAGTGTCAGTATCGTGTCTCTTGCACTCTGGGAATGTCGAGACTCACGGAGCAATGGCGTTGACCCTGATTCCCTGAGGGCCCATTTCTTTGGCGACCGTCTTCGTCAGTCCCACCACTCCATGCTTGGAGCAAACATACGCCCCTAAGCCTGGTCTCCCGGAGATCCCTGACAGCGAGGATGCGTTCACGATACTCGCTCCCCGCTTCATGACCCGAATTTGCGCTCGCACGCAATACATCAAGCCACTCAAATTGATGGCGATCATCTTGTCCCACGTCTCATTCTTCAGGTCGGCAATGTTGGTGAATCCCAGCTCGATGCCGGCGATGTTTGCAGAGGCGTCGAGACCGCCAAAATGCTCCACAGTCGAGGCGATCCATTTGTCCACCGCGTCGCTCGATGATACATCGAGCACAGTGCCGACAACCTCAACCCCCTGACTTTGTAGCTCGCTGACCACTTTGTTCAAAGCATCCTTCTGGATATCAGCCAATGCTAGTTTGGCTCCTCTCTCGGCGAGCAGTTTTGTGAGGGCTAATGCAATGCCAGATGCGGCACCCGTCACGGAGACTACTTTTCCTTTCAAAGACATTTTGCTGTAATTTACTAAGATTGCATGAAGACGTGGAACAGTGGTTGGGCGGGCTTTCCCCAGCCAGCCAGTATACACAGCAAGATTAAGTATTCGTCATATGGCCGGTAAATTGATGATCGAGGGGTGCCCGACACGGCTAGCACCCATCCTACCACGAACAAGAGACGGGTGGTGGTGATCGATCTATTTCCGCGAGCGGCATGCACCCGCTCACGTGCACAGTGGAATAGGTCTAGCAAGATCTTTTCAGGAACGGGGCTCAACCGAGGCCCTGTAAGCTAACGCATTATCTGAGTTGGACCTGAATCGTACTCTTATTTCTGAACCACACGTACAACATGGGCCACGACAGACCTTACATTGATGACAAAATATCGTCAAGGGGGTTTGAGGTTGTTATCATGGTGGAGAGGATGAAGATAGCGATGGATATTTTGAACGCTTGTGTGCAGTAGAGTTTGTCCGGTTGCAAAAGGCGAGTGCCGCTGGCGAAGAAACGATAATATGCCCTATTGAGATGTACACAAGCGCCATCTATGATCAACCGTCCGTAATACAGCAGGGATTTTACATCCTGGCCAGCGAGGCAAAGCTCTTGCTCCCCCGGACCTCCTCCAGCTTGACAACGTCCAAACACATCCCTAGCACATCCCTCGTGTCTCTGGGATCAATGACCCCGTCGTCCAACATCACGCCACTCGTCGTGTAGCACTCACTGTCGCGCTGGACGTCGTTGCGGAAGCGGTCGACCTCTTTCCGGATCTTGGCCATGTCGACTTTCCCTTTCCTCTTCGCGCTGGACACTTGGACGGTTTCCATCACTCCAGAAAGCTGGTCGGGCCCCATCACGCTGCACCGCCCCGTGGGCCAGGTGAAGATGAACCGCGGTCGATATGCGCGGCCGCACATGGCGTAGTTACCCGCTCCGTAAGAGGCGCCTAGGATGACAGAGATGTGCGGCACGGTCGAGCAGCTGACGGCCGAGACGAGCTGGGCGCCTTTCTTGATGATGCCGGCATGTTCGGCCTTGGTGCCGACCATGAAGCCGGTGACGTTGTGGAGGAAGATGATGGGTATGTTCCTGAGACAACCCAGTCGTGAGATGAGAAGCTCATGGAGCAATAGCGGACAGGGTTGGCGGGAGTTGGACTTACTGTTGGTTACATAGGCGGATAAACTGGGCGGCTTTTGACGCCTCGTCGGGATTGATGATGGGGGTTTGATTGGCTATGATACCTGCAGTGTGTCCTGTGCATCCAATACTCAGTATCCCACATGTGCAGGGCTTCTTTGGAGTGAGTCGAACTTCAAAGACGACATTCACGTCTTACCTGTAATACTTGCCCATGCAGTGATGATGTTCTTCCCGTAGGTGGGCTTGAAGTTAGATAGCCGGGAGTCGTCCACGATCCGTAGTAGTACTTCAGACATATCGAACGGCTTGCGGATGTCTGGGTTCACAATCGAGAAAATGTCGTCTGCTGAATATCGTGGCGGGAGGACCGGATTTTGAGCCAGCGATAAGGATCTGGGCCGCCTGTCGAGGGTGCCGACCCATTCCCTCGCTTTCTGTATGGCATCGAACCTGGAGATCGATCCCATCAGCATCTGAATACGACGGATAAACTTCCGTTCGTTGCACATCTTACTCGTCTGAGGCAATTTGGTCCGCGAGCCCAGTGACGGTACCGTGAACCCTTGCGCCGCCTAGATCTTCGGCGTCCACCGTCTCCCCCGTTGCCATCTTGACCAGAGGAGGTCCACCAAGGAACACTTGGGCTTGATCTTCGACGAAGATCGTGTAGTCGGAGAGGGCTGGATGATAGGCTCCACCAGCGGTCGAAGAGCCAAATACAATTGCACACGACGGGCGCCCACGTTGACTTCGCAGAGACAGGTCACGAAACAACTCCCCTCCTTTGTGGAAGACACGGAACTGTTGCGGCAAGAAAACACCGGCCTGTGGCACTTGAGTGTTAGCGTGGTCAGTCATAAAAGGTGCCACTTTGAAGCTCACCGATTGCACGAGCGATATCAGTGGCAGGTCATTTTCCAGCCCGATCTCCATGATACGGCTTTGCTTGACAACTAGGCAGGTAGACTCAGCCAACGATGGCCCCTTTCCTTCTCCATGGCGCAGGTTCGTCTCTCACCTGTAATCTCGTTCCAAGCACCACCACTCTGGGTCGGAATGTGTGACATTATCAAACATAGTGAGCCACTGCGAGGTTGAATCAGTCATTGAGAGTCGCTTAAGACCGGGTGACTCCGAACTTGACGCTGCCAATCCCTGCTATCAGGTTTGCGCAATGGTTGGAAGTCTCGACACCAACCCCTGCAAAGCTCCCCAGCTCCAAAAACGGCGACTCCGGATCAAGCAGCAGCGCGATTCTGTCACGAGCTACGCAGATAGCGCGTCAGCGGAAGACAATTGGCCACCCAACGTACTCGTAGGCAAGCTGTAAGCGGAATAATGAAAGGTTTACTAACAGAGTAATTGTCCGCGGTCATTGTGTCTGCGGAGGTTTTCATCGTCGCCTTCCCGGCTGACTTTCTCCAATATTGTTTCGAATCTCTCTAGAACGGGTTTCCAGTTTTCGGCATTTTGCTGGTACTGTGCAGCACTCAGGTCCAGCTTCGAGCGAATGACTGGGAACAGGGTTGTTTGCGGCGACATCTCGTTGTGTTGTGAGAGAACAGGGGATAGATTGTCGCTGATTGTACTTTGTGAGGGAAGATGCAAGTCCTAACCACGTACGTTACGTACCTCGGTTAAAAGATGCTGGATCAGGACAGCTGGGCGGGTCCGCTCTGGGGGCTCTCAATGGCTCGTCGCGGTCGGGGAGCCGTGCCCACCATAGAATCCCAAACCCAACCCGGAATGTATCAAACCGAGGTGAAGGTCGCGGGCCTGGGATTTCTAAATCACAACATATTCCAATTAATTAGTGGTAACAACATAGCATCTGCACGCTCAAACATAATCACCACCTCTAGATCAGAATCGACAAACATTTTCTATTGAAGGTCCCCAATTTGGGGGCTTGACTAGCTAATGCCGCCAATCCAAGCTCTGCTGAAACACCGTAATACGAGGTAGACCAGACAGTAGCCAAGATAATCTTCCATCTTCCAAATCTTCACAGACTTGAATGCCAACTTGGAAAATTCACATTCTTCTCCTGTAAACCTCTGAGACAGATGGAGTGGCTCGTCGATCACGTGCCCGACCTTCTTCTATGCCAAGACGGCCGTAAATAGCCGGTTGACTGGCCAATAGGAGTTGGCTTTTCCGCTACGGCCTCCTGAATGCCTAGCCTTGTACCACGACGTCCGATATTCGAGGCAGAAGCCACGACAACAAGGGTTGGCTAGCCGCGATGAGAGAGCCCGAAGGACGGTGCTCTAACTCTCCCTCTGACTGACCTCTGGACATGAAGTAACTCCTTTTGTAACACCGACCGCGCCAATGTCACTGGATGATTGATCCCGAGAAGTCTTGAATTCTTGTAGAAGCAGTTGTCTCGCGGCTGTCTTATCTAATATCTCTAGAGCTCTGATTTGTCTAATACCGAGAGTGACTCATCCATCGTCTGGTTAAAAGACTGCCAGAGCGTTAGGCGGAGAAGCCACACCACCCTTCACGTTCAACGGGGCACTCGTGACGAAAAAGGTCCAGCGCTTCAGACTCTGACATTTCTGTGCAAGAGCTTCAAGGTCCCACATCTCTCCAATCGGCATCCCCCACCATACTAGCAAGTAGTCATGTAGAGCTGGAGTCGGTTGTCAGTGAGCAGCCCTTTGAGACTAAGGGGTTGGATACTCACCATAACTCTTCGCGAACGGCTGCGTCTCAAAGGCGACCGCGTCTCCTGCTACGGCGGAAAAGTGGTTATCCCATAGCCACCGCACCATGTCTTCCGAAGCTTCAGTGCCGATTGTATTTGAGGACCGCATGAGCGCGTTTCGTTCCTCATCGTTAGCACACTTGTTGTAGGCCTGTATCAAACCCGTCCGCAGGATCAAGATGTCCCCGTGCTTCAGTTGGACATTTTCTTCCGCTAGAATCTGTTTTATCACCTCGAGCGATATGACCTGCGACGTTGCCGGTTTTATCTCGACTCCATTTCTTCCCGCCCACGACGCAAAGTCAACAAGAACTCCACGCCCGATGACACCTCCGCGCTCGCTCCAAGCTTTCCTTGTCAGAAGGCACATAGGCCATGAGAAGGTGTACACACTTACAGTGGATACTCAATTCTTCTGTCCCTAGAATATCATCGTGAAGGATTCCATTGTAGTGTTGTTTCGTCGTCGCATGGCCCCAATGCCCTGAGTCTTGTCAAGATCTGTCATTCAACTGGTGGAGGGATTGTGACTGACTAAAGCCATCCCACTGCGAACTCGACTGAGTGTTGAAATGCACAATGTCATCGAAGCAGCAAATTGGCATGTTATGCTCTTTGCCGACATCTTTGATCGAATGGTGGAATTTCTCTCGATAAAAGGGTGAAGGTGGGTTTTCCAGTCCCCAACTAGCAGCGTAGGAAATGAGAATTAGTGCATGCCCGATTTTCGTATACCCATTATCACCGTCGACGTACTTCAAAGCAACGCTCTCGCCTGTTCTGATCTCTTTAGACGCCTCCAGCACAACGCTTGGTGTGAGGATGTTCAGTGTCCCAACTTGATCCTTCACGCCGTCCTTATCGAAGATGCCCTAGTACCAATTCAGAGTCGAAGATCGCCAGCCAAGAGAGCGTGTACCGACCCATGCACAGCCCTTTGGAGTGCCCGGAACAGGGGGGAGTTGGTCAAAGGAAGGGAGAGCTCCAAGAGGCATGGTGAAGGCACTGCTGGCTTGCTTGATGTTTGATTGCTAAAGTGAGTATCGAGCTCTCGATCACTCGGTACTGCACAGATACACTACATCTAAGCACTGTGGGACATTATACGTGCAGGTCACCTGGTCACAAACTGACCATTGAAACGCCTGCGGAAAAGACATTGCCGACCGGACAGGGGTGACTGGCCGGTGCATGTCAACCGGGAGCGTCTCCAATCAGCCAATGGTCATGACATCCCCGTATAATTCTAGACAAATCAACATGTTGGATGTTTAGGTAAGACTGACCGGTAACGAGTCGGCTGCTGGAAGATTGAAGCCGAGGATAACTGACTCCTCAAGTTGGATAAATATGAAAGGGATGATTGAAGCGGCGAGCCTCATTCTGATGAAACAACAGGTAATTCCATCACACACGCTTGTCTTAACACCATCAAAAATCATTGTCGTTTTGGAATCTTTGTTCTGGCGCAACGCCCCACGGAAATGGCTGCCCAAAGCAAGATCAATGTCCAACCCCTCCATCCAACCTTCGCTGCCGAGGTCTCCGGAATCGACTTCAGCAAGCCAGTGCCCCCGGAGGTGATCTCCCAAGTTCAGGATGCCATCGACAAGTACGGTGTGCTTGTCTTTCGTAACGCAAATCTAGACGACGATGCCCACGTGGCATTCGCGCAGTCATTCGGGGAGCTCGAGCCCACCCCAGCTGCCAGCCTGGGCGTCAAAACCCGCCTGCCCAGTCCGTATATCGGGGACCTCTCCAACCTCGACCACGGTAACAACTTGAAGTTGTTCGAGGATAAGATGTCTCGTCTCTTCGCTAAGGGTAACGAGCTATGGCACGCCGATATGCAATACCACCCCCGACGGTGCAAATACTCGACCTTGCGCGCCGTGAAGCTCCCTCCCAAGGGAACCGGCGGTGAAACGCTCTACGCCGACTCTCGAGCAGCCTACGACGATCTCAGCCCGGAAATGAAGGACAAGATTGAAAACCTCGTTGCTTATTGCTCCCTTCTTCACAATCGACGAGTGGCGGCTCCGGAGCTATACAAGGGCGTCGACGTCTGGGACTGGCCTAACGCCAAGTACAAGCTGGTATACCCGCACGAGGGAACAGGACGGAAGAATCTCTACGTCACTAGTTATATGCACAAGATAGAGGGTATGTCACAGGAGGAGAGCGACAAGTTGCTTGACGAATTGAGAGCACATGCGACCCAAGACAAGTATGTGCACACAGTGTTTTGGGAAAACGATGGTGACATGGTCATGTGGGACAACACCGCAGTGCTGCACCGGGCAACCGATGGCTCGGGGTACATTGGGAAATACGTTCGAGATGTCCGTCGCACCAGCTGCTTCGACAGTGGAAAGTATGCGTGGGGCGAGAATGATCCCAACAACCCCTGGATCATCAAGCTGCCCAAGGACCCCCTCGCTGCTTCGGTGGCGTGAATGGATTGACACTGTAACTATCGTACGAATAATTGAACATCTCTCCCTTGGAACGTTTTTACAAAAATGATATCGTCTTGATTTGCGTGAGGAGGAGGACAATGAACAGGATACCGTGGATTATGGACGTTACAGTCAAAAGACATCTGGAATTGTATATGGTCTAGTTCGGATGCATTGTGATGCCATGGGTGGCCAGTTGACCAGTCCACCTTGCGACCTACTCAGCCATCCCCCTTACGGGCATCAAAAGAGAAGACCTACCTCCAGATTGCCGCCGACATCGTATTCTGTGCCCCTGTCCAAATGCTCCCCCACGCAACGTCGGCTTCCAGTCTTACCGAAAGGGGACGGGTACCCCAGACTCTCCCGGCCGTGATTTCGGCTAAGCCAATGCTTGTCAGGCACGTTGGCGTTTGCCTTATCGAAAGTCCTCGTTTAGGGGTCTAGACCTGAACGTCCACGCGGAGCTCCACGGGGAAATTTGACGCTACCGGGAAATAGAACCGAGCTCCCGAGTCCTTGGGTATACAAATTAGAAGCAACAAGTATCTGAGGCTGTCCACCCCGACCCCGGATTTTCAGAGGAACGTGGCCTTGTTTTAGTTTCTCTTCCATCCAGTATCACTGCAGTCATGGCTAGTGACACCACTGCGAACACGATGAACGAAAAGGTCGACGACGTGAGGGTCGAGGAGGCATCGTCTTCTCCGAATGAGCTCTCCGTCTCAGGTCCTCATCCACACCACGTAGAGCATGCGCCGGCCGAGTATATCAATGGCAAACCATACTGGCAGACAAGCCTCTTTCTGGGTTCTTTCTGGGCCATCGGCCTCGGTGTCCTTGCCTGCTATGCTGGCTTTGCCATGCCTGCAAACACCCTCCCGCTGATCAACGAAGATATTGGTGAGAACTCTCCTTCCCACCCTTGTTTACTTTGGCCTCTTTACTAACGCACCTCAAAGGTCCCAGCGCTGATATCAACTGGGTCTCCCTCTGCTGGACATTAACCGTTGCTATCGGCTATACTCTCGTTGGAAGACTCAGCGATATCTTTGGGAGGAGGTACTTCTTCATTGGAGGTGCCGCCCTGGGCTTGATTGGAAGTATCGTGGCCGCCACGGCGAAGACGGTGAACCAATTGATCGGCGCGACCGTCTTGATCGGATTGGCAGCCTCGTCTCAGATCTCCTTCACCTATGTGACGGGCGAGCTCGTCCCGGTCAGACATCGCTTTATCGTCAATGGTCTGGTCAACGCCGTCAACATGCCAATTGGTGTCTTTGGCCCTGTGATCGCCCGTGCATTTATACTCCATACTTCAGCGGGCTGGAGATGGAACTATTATCTCACCATCATCTTGAGTGAGGACTGACACTCTCTTTTACCAAGTTCCCCCAACTGACAGAGAGTCTAGACGCGCTGTCCCTCATTCTATGGGCTCTGTTCTACTATCCCCCTGATTTCGCCCATCTCCACCGTGTCCGTTCTCGCTGGCAAGAGATCAAGAGTATCGACTATGTCGGCGTCGTTCTCTTCTCGGGAGGATTGCTGCTGTTCTTGATGGGTTTGTCGTGGGGAGGAGGACAATATCCATGGAAATCCGCACATGTCATTGCCACGATAGTCGTTGGATTCTTGACCCTAGTGGCCTTTGTATTATACGGTACTCATTATCTTCCACTGCAAGGATCGAACCCCACTGACCACAGGCAGAAATGTACTCTGGAGTCTACCGGCCCCTGGTGCCGATGCATATCTTCAGGGACTTCCAGTACGATATGATTGTCGTCCTGACGACAGTTGGCGGCATGATTTATTATTCCATGACTGGTAGGGCTGTCCCAGAGATCTCGTCTAGCGAGGAAGCTGACTTCAAAATAGTGATTTACCCGGTCAGTCTCGGCGTCTTCTTTTCGAGTGACCCGATGACGGTTGGCTGGCTTTCCTGCGCCGTGGGCGGCGGGACACTGGCCGGACAAGTCATTGGCGGCCTCCTCGCGATGCGTATCGGCTACATCAAGTACCAGATGATCTTTACGACACTATTTATGGCAGCGTTTATTGGTGGGTTGGCAGCGCAGACGAAAGATACCCAAGCGTGAGTTTCACCCCTGTCCTAACTGAAACATACACAGATACTGACTCCATCCCAGCCTGTCGAGTGCCTTTGCAACTCTCGGATCCTTTGGTGTCGGATACATCGAGATCCTCGCGGCCACGGCGGCAACATTCGTGATCAAGGACCAGAAACAGATGGGCACGCCCAACGGCATCTTTGGCAGCATCCGGAGTGCCGGTGGCGTCCTCGCAACAACCATATACCTGACGATCCTGACGAACCGCATGGCGACCAACACGACGAACATCGTCGTCCCTGCGGTCCTCGAGGCGGGACTCCCACAATCGTCTCTCGAGCAGTTCTTGACGGCGCTGAACAGCGGGATTGCTTCAGCAATTGCCGCCGTGCCGGGGGTCACCGAGAGGATCATCCTCGCGGGCTCAAGCGCATTGCTCGAGTCATATACGGACGCGTTTCAAAAGGTGTTCCTGGCCAGCATCGCATTTGGCGTGCTCTCGGTCATGGCCGCGGTAGCCATCAGGCCGTTCACCAAAGAGGAGCTCGCAGGGACCATCATCTTTCATTTGGGCGAGAACAAGACGCATCCACCGGCGGCTGGGGTCGTGGAGTCTCAGGAGGATGAGAATGAGGCGCCTCTTGATTGAAGAGGGAGGCTTCCACCGCGCAGCCAATTGGACCTTAGAGAGCTTAGCCTTGAGATTAGATCCAGTTGAATGTTGGCCGTAAGTCTATAGTCTTGTTCGATTAAATCAGGATCTTTCAGAAGGAAGACCCTACCGCATGCTCAGCGACTGGCGATATGTTACCTACTTCAAAAGTACAGGTCTGAGAGGACCCTGTGGGAGATCGAAGGTGACCCTTAATTACTATAGTTGAAAGCTGTCCAGGAAGAGAGTTCTTCACACATGCTTACCGGCCATAGACTTGTTGATCCGTTTCGTTAAGCGCCACCTTGACTTCTATTTACAGTAAAGAATTGTGAATGCGTAAAGACACGTAGAGATTTCTTGCCAATGCTTCGGAGTTCCAAGGCCAAGCGCTGCCCTGCTACAATTGCGATCCAATTGCGACATGTGGAAGTCATCCTACAAGTGCAGCTAGGATATCTAACGAAACGATGATCCTTGTCGGTGCGAGATACGGTTTGCAGACCTGAGCTCGATACCCTAGAAGACATAGACAGGGGTTCGGTACCACGTATTTCCCTCCCAGACCGTTATGCCTCTTCCCGCACACATGTTTGATGCTACGGATTTTGCTTGCCGTCCTTTTCCGGCGCCGCATCAGGACTCCACTACGGAGAAATGTGGAGTATCAACACCAACCCTTTGTCATGATTCTTCTATGGCCACCTCGGCCGTTCTGTATGCTGGAGCCACATAGACACTTTCAACATCCAGGCACAAAGACAGCAGCAGGCCCAGTATGACGGCGTTCAACTGGGAATACGTTCGTGGCGCACCTATCAAGTTTACCAGGATATGTGCCTTGTACAGCCTCAACGCCGTCTTGCTCACTCTTCGTCGCCTAGTATCGCCGGCTTCATCTCTCCCCACAAACTATGTCACTGCCTTGAAATCGCTTCTCCTCAAGATCTTCTTCTTGAAGGACTACAAGTTCATATACTCGACCCCGCCGGCGGCGTTTGCCGCGTCCAGGCAAATCACAGGTCAAGGCTGGCATGCATACGAAGTCGACTGCAATCCCAATCTGGCACTGAGCGATTATGACGCCGTCGTCCTGTACTTCCACGGAGGTGGATATGCCATCGGTGAGCCGATGCAATACTACGAGACGTTCAAACGGTGGCAGAGGAAGGCTGCTCAGCTTGGGACTCGTCTGGCTATTGTTTCTCTACGTTATCGTAAGACTATATACTCCCCCCTCCTTCGACGATTTCTCTATCTATCTGAATGGCTCTTTTGGTAACAAGACCAGCACTCTCGACCGAGCAACCCTACCCGGCACAGCGCAATGCGGCATTAGCAGCTTATCAGCACTTGATACAGCATGAACACGTATCACCAAGCAAGATCATCCTATGCGGCGACTCTGCGGGAGGTACGACTCTATGACTACTACCCGGTACCCTCTCGTTTTTCGTTTCAGTTTTAATACTTACAAAAGATCGTTACAGGAAACCTCGTCGCATCCCTACTGGTTTACCTCCGCGACCACGACGACATCCCCCGGCCAGCATGCTCCGTCATGATCTCCCCGTGGCTGGATCCGTCGCTGTCCAAGACGGCCAAATCACCCTTTGCGGGAGTCGACTTTGTCTACGGCGACGGGACATGCGAGGGAACGCGAGGCATGGCCCAATTGATCGCCGGGAAGGACCACAGCCCCAGCGACCCGGAGATCTCGTTGGCCCGGAGCACCGACCTCAAGAGCATCCCGCCACACCTGTGCTGCTACGGCACCGCCGAAGTGTACCAGGAGGATTCGAAGATGTGGATCGCACAGTGTCTGGCGGACGGCGTCGATGTGACTGAGTACAGTGGCAAAGGCGCCGTGCACACGTTTGTGCTGGGGGGATTAACCGCGGATGCGAAGCTGGAGGAGGAGGCGGACGGGGTCTTCTTGGACTACATCATCAAACATCTTGCGTTGAATCGGAGCTAGAATATACTACAATGTTATCCGTCCGAGTTAGAGAGGTGTATATTGCCCACCACGGGCGTCTCCGCTTTCAGACAGACCCATTTACCGACTCTGTGGCCATGCATCTTGGTTGTAGCATGCCACCTTTACATAGTATTCCAATCCTGTCCGTTCAAGATTTCACCGTTTTCAAAATTTCTCCCCTTTCTACACTACTTTTGACATGTTTGATGGCTGCATCTCGATCATCTGGATGCGTCTATTTCTGCATCTTCAGAATATATTGCGTGGTTTGGGACGTTGCAACAGACCAAAACCACGCCACAGAGAGACATTTCATCCAGCTATCCACTGCAGAACCAGCGTTCGTGACTTTGACGCCTGACTTCTGGAGAGTCTGACTGGTTTTTCCATTGAATCTACATGCTCTACCGAACACGTACCCTGAAAGGTCTCTACCAAGAAATGTGCACTATATCCCTCGCTCCCTCTCCATCGACATCACTTTGAAAACTGATAACTCGAAAACTCGCTCTCAGCTTCCTTCTGGCAATGCGCAAAGTACTGGACCAAGCCCCCGAAATAGAAGAGGACGTTCAAGGGCTTGCCCGGGATATTCGCGCCGATGTACCAAGAGCGAGCCTTTTGAGACGCCGTAGCTAACAACGTTGACTCGAACGTCTGTTGGACGTGGCCGCACCAACCGTCGACGGCCTCTTGCGTCACTTCCATCCGGTTGTAGCCATGAGTATCCATGTAGCTGATTGCCTTGCCGATGAAGTCGGCGGTATTGTCAATGATGACGGGGATGTTGGCAAACGGTGCCTGTGGCCCTGATATCATAAACATATTGGGATACCCATGGACGCTGATGCCCAGGTGAGTTTCCAGCCTGGGATTCCATTTCTCTGCTAGTGATTGGCCATCCTTACCGCGAATATCGATCTGGGTGAGCGCGCCAGTCACAGCGTCAAACCCGATGGCGAAAATGATAATGTCGAACTCGTACTCAGCAGTCCCTGTCCGAAGCCCCTTCGGTGTAATCTCCTGGATGGGATCGTCGGCGACACTAACGAGTTTCACGTTTGGTCGGTTAAAGGCTTCATAGTAAAAATGCCCAAGGGGTGGTCGTTTAGCCAGCAGAGGATAATCAGGGCAAAGTAAGTCCGCTGTCTCTTCATCCTTGACGATTGTGCGGATCTTCTTTCTCACAAACTCCGAGGCCACTTCGTTTGACTTCTCATTGAGCAGCAGATCGTCAAAGGTCTCAAAGATGTAGCGGAAGCCGCCTGCTTCCCACCCAGCTTCGAGGATTCTTTGGTGGTCGTTTTCGTCTTTGACATCGGCAATGGTACGACCAATAGTGGGCATTGCGAAGCCAAAAACCTGGCCTCGAGCTTGCTCCCATACTGCATCATAGCTGGTCTTGATCTCCTTTAGCTGATCTTCCGTCAATGGGTGGTTACGACCTGGTATCACGTAGTTTGGCGTGCGTTGAAAGACTGTCACCGACGCAGCGGTATGCGCAACAATCGGCACGACTTGAACTCCAGTGGCTCCAGTGCCTACCACGGCTACTCTCTTTCCCGCGAAGTCGATCTTCTCCTTTGGCCAATTCGACGTCTGGTACCATTTCCCTTGAAAGGAGTCCAGACCGGAGAACGGCGGCGCTCTCGTCGCTGACAGAACACCCGCTGCCGTGACGAGGAAGTGGCAAGTGTAATGAATGTTATCTGCGGTCCTGATATCCCAGATATTGAGGTCCGCATCGTAATGTGCCGACTTGACGCGCTGTTTGAACAGGATGTCTTTGCGCATGTCGAACCTGTCGGCGACGTGGTTCAAGTAGCTCAGCACCTCTTGCTGAGGGGCAAACCGTTCTTTCCATACCCAGTCTGTTTTCAGCTCTCGCGAGAAGTTCAAGATGTAACTCCAACTCTCGCTGTCTGTCCGTGCGCCGGGATATCGATTCCAGTACCAGGTGCCACCCACATCGGAGCCGGCTTCGATGATCTTGGTCGACAGGCCGAGTTTGCGAAACTCGTGCAAGATTCTCAGCCCACCGAACCCGGCTCCGATGACAACAGCTGCATAGTCAACGTCTCTATTGAATCTATTTTTCGATGTGCGAGCCGCGGTGACTCCGTTTTCCATCTTCGAGACCCCGTTAACGGCCGGTGCTGGCGGTTCCAGGATGGGCAAGACTTCAGTAGACATGACGATTCGGGAAAAATTGATGCTGGCCTTTGAAACCTCCAAAATCAGGTTGGAGAATTGTTCCTGATCTCGAGTGTATTGGAGCTCGCTAGGTAGGGCAGTTGGATGAATGACATATAACGCATCGTTGGCGTTTCGTTCTCGATCCGCGAGTTGCACGCGGAGAATCACCAATCGCAGTGATTTCCGCGGTGCAGCCTTGCGCTTCTTGTTCCGGGGGTTGGAATAGACCAGCCAACGCGGAATGGGAATCCGTTTGTTTCAACAGTGCGGCACGTATTTTCCGGTAACCAACAGGACCGAAAAGTCGTTAGGTATCAACGAAAATGGTTAGTGCCATAGCCCATTAGAGGATCTCCCGCCGCAAGCTTGAAAGGGAAATTCACACCATTCAAGTACCCAGCACATAGTTCGATACCCGGGCGGACATACCAAGGCTCAATTGGTTTCCTGTCATAGTATCCAGAAGTTTCGCGCGCACATCCAACACAATGTCGGCCGCGCCTAATCCAGAGTCCATAAGAGACAAAATCGAGGGCACTGTCGACACAGAGGCCTATGCTCGGCTCAATGGCGTTGACGAGAGGTCGATAGAGGCAGAAAAGCATGTGGAAAACCGAGGCCACAAGAAGGTCATTTTGGTGGGCGCCGGAGTCTCTGGCATCACCAAGGCGGCGCTCCTTCTCAAACACAAGGCGATCAGCCTCGAGGATTTGGTCATTTTCGATGTGCAAGCCAATTTCGGCGGGGTGTGGGAGAAGAACAAGTATCCGGGATGTGCTTGCGATGTTCCCGCGTTGCAGTATACCAACAAATTGATGAT